CTGAATCATTGCTTCATTGACTGCCCGAAGGCCAGATCCCTATGGCAAAACCTAGAAGCGGCATGGCACAAAATCTCGGACTCTATCCTCCTAATTAACCGTGCCACACTATTCCTCGACATCTATCAAATACCTCCACTCTTAGGCATACGACCAAAGTAAACTGGGACTTTCTGCAGGCTAGCATGAGAAAAATGAGAGTAGGCCCAATCTTCCGAAAATGGGTAAGAGTACTCGACAACGATGCACAAGGGATAGTCCAAGCTAATGGCTTCCTCTCGAACCGTTACCCAATGTCAAGATCGATGAGGCAAGGAAACCCATTGGCAGCACCAATCTCTCTTTTTGTTATGGAAGCCATCGCTGCCTTCCTGAGAAAGGATAGATCCATCAAGAGGATAGAGAACGTCAGGGACGAACGAGATCAACCCCTCCACATCCCTACTCTCCTATTCGCGGACGATCTCGCGGTAGTTACCCGAGCTTCAACGTCCTATGGCAAAACCTAGAAGCGGCATGGCACAAAATCTCGGACTCTATCCTCCTTATTAACCCTGCCACACTATTCCTCGACATCAATCAAATACCTCCACTCCATGGCTTCGAAGCCTTCCTCTCTTCACTAATCAAGAAAAACACCCTATGGTCTATTTGGTAAAACAGATGTGACTGCACCTTCGATGACCGTCTCACTCCCCCAGAGAATCCACTCATCACCATAAAACAACTGATAGACACCGAAATCCAAGCCCTCTGGAAAAAAACAACTCAACAATCTCCCCACTGACCCCAATAAAAAAAGAGAAACAATTAAAAAGTTTGTAATCTCCAAATTAGGAAATGGGAAATTAGGCTCAATCAACAACGATCGACTAACTCTAAATAATTGGCTGAACTTAACTGGGACACAAAGTGCCCAGATACCACCCCTACCCCGCACCCAACCACCCCCAAACCAGCCACACACCACTAACCCAAGTTAGAGTAAACAAAGTCCACCCCCAGTCCCTACCCAACAACCTCGCCCCAAACACCCGCCTCCCTTACATGCAACCGACACTCCACAAATCGCCTCTATCTAACCCTGACACACCTCCATCATCCCCCTCCACATTCTCTAGACAACACCCACACAGATTCCATCCAAACCCCACACCAAACATCCCCTTAGATCTCAGACCCACGATTGAAGAAGAAGAAACAGCAGGGACACTGGAGGGTGCAGGTTCCATCAAGAGAAGGAAAGAGAGACAACTCCAAAGACAAGGCGAGAATCCCCTTTGGGGGTTTCAAGACTACTGCTCAAGTCAGGTCACGAGTCAAGAGAGGCTAAAGGACAAGGGTCAAAGGTTTAGACAGACTCAAAGGTCTAGAGTCTAGAGAGAACCAAGGCAAGCAAGGAAAAGACAAACAGAGGATAAAAGTCAGGCTTAAAATTAAGAAAAATAAAAAAAAGGGCAAAAGTCAGGCTTTTGACAGATCCAAGATAACTAAGTTCTAAGAGTTCAGATTTTCAGGAAATCCGCAAGTTCCTCAGTCCTCTCTAGCATAGCACACCGACCCGACAGCAGTACAGCTGAGAGGAGCAGGACTGAGACCAACCGGAATAGCAAGACTCAGACAGAACAAGGAGAGCAGGCTAACTTATGCAGGGGTGAGGGGGGGTATATCCTTCCACAAGGAAGTAATCAATGCCGTCCACTCGGACCTCCCAGCCTTAATGGGGAGGAGTGTGCGTGAGTTTCAAATGTATCACATATTGACTTGCCGGGGGAATAGGAACCAGACTGTTGCTCCCCAGAATGGTAGGAGCCAGAACCAAGAGGTTCTGTTCTTCAAAAAAAAAAAAAAAATATAAAAAAAAAAAAAAAAAAAAAAAAAAAATCAACAGGGCCACAGGTCGTTCATGGTTTTGCCAATGCGAAACAAAAAATAATAAAATATCGAAAATAATGATTATGAGCCTCAATTGTATAATTCACCAGAAATAAAGAGCAGAACAGACTCGAGATCATACTCCACTCAACTGTGGACACGATTGCAGCCAGAGGCGCACCCAGCGCCCGGTCGTTATTCCGGTCAGATACGTGCAGAAAAATCCTACTGACATACGCCCTCACAAGGGCACTTCAATTTGAGCTGGTGACAGGTCTGCAATTTTTTCTTTTCAGTTCTCTTTTCATTACAGTCTGCAATATTCACCATGACACGCAAAAATCAAGAAACCATCAAAAACAAAACAAAAACAGAAAAACAAAAAAACTAATTACCTGCCTATTAACCCACCAGTTCTCACAACTTGGGCATACTCACACAACAGTCTTCCCCCGAATACAACGTAAGGTTATCATAGCCGAATTTGGTGTACCTTTCAGTCTAATGACCATACTTTGTATTCGGGGGAAGACTGTAGGACCACCTACTTCTACACGGAATTGCGGCCAGATACATCCAAGGCCGGCCGTATTTACGATCCGATACATTCAGCAGAGTGGTAATGCGAGTACGCGCTCACGGACGGAGCTCTTGTCATTCGCTCTTCAGCATCAAGTCGCTAATCTGGCCAGCTCTTCAGCACTTTTGTCCTTCTTCATCTGGCCTAGCCCCTCGTCCTTGTTCATTCTTGTGGTGGTAACACGGGCTAGGCCAGATCAAGAAGGACAAAAAACGTGGGTTTAGAAGATGATAAACAAAAAATGACACTACGAGTAAGGGTATCGCCACACCACTGTCGAAATGTGCAAAATGAGAATGAACTTCCTGCTAGAACATGGCCAGAGGCACCGGCCATATTTTTGTCATTTCCACATTTTCGAGTGTTGTGGCGAGGCCCTAAGGACCACAGAAAGGAATGGTACCATTTTCACCTCGCTCCACTACTTTCGACATGCACAAAAACCAAAAATCATGGCCGTATATCTATCCATGTTCTAGCGAAAAATCGTTTTGCACTTGG